TATATATATATATATATATATATATATATATATATATATATATATATATATATATATATATATCTTTTTTAAAATTGATTGGATTCCATTTCTTCGAGTTTCAAATATATCTTTTTTAAAATTCTTGAATCAACTGGTCTCTGGTTGTATACTTGTAATAACAGGCTTGGATAGTCTACAAGGAATCAAGCTGGATCAGGATAGCTATTTTAATACCTAGTGCACTTTTTGCAGGAAGGTATTCCTTCTTTTTATTAATTAGCAGTGTGACATGTTTGAAGTCGATTTTTAGAGTCTATATTTTCCTAATTTGACCCCTAAGAATTATTTTGTAATATACTATTAAAATCAAATATTAAGTTTTTCAAAAAAAAAAAAAAAAAATCAAATATTAACAGCTAATCGTTACTTAGGCTACACGATATGGTCTGTCATGCTGCCTTCGGCATCTATTGTCGGCGGTAAACACCGCCTCTCAATAGCCGTAGGCATTGTTGCACGACAAAAATTTGTCCGTGAAAATCTTGGAGACAACCGAGAAATAGACCACATATCTTTTGTTCCTATTTGAAGTGTTTGTTTTAAAAAAATGTAGACATTGAAGGGCACCACAGCCTAATGTAAACATCGTATGACAAATATTGGAGGCATCCCACATGGCGCACATATGACATTAAATCTAGAAGACAATTTAAAACGTCACACCTTTTAGCCTTACATTCTTTTAAGAAATGATTAACTAGCGGAAAAACCCGGGCTTCGCCCCGGACCGTTTTTTGTGTTTTTTATGAAAAAATGTAAAAGTTTTGACTGTAAGGACCAAAAATATTAAAATGGCTAAAGAATTAAAGGGGTTGGAATTAGCAAGTTTTTAGAAAAGGGACCAAAATTGTCAATTTCTTAAAGTTTTGTGGGCAAACTTTGATTATTAAAAGGTTCCTAAAAAATGTAAAAATTTTGATTGCAAAGACCAAAAGTGTCAAAATGTAAAAGTTTTGACTGTAAAGACCAAGAGTGTCAAAATGGCTAAAGAATTAAAGGGGTTGGAATTAGCAAGTTTTTAGAAAAAGGACCAAAGTTGTAATTCCTTAAAGTTTTGTGGTCAAACTTTGAATACTAAAATGTTCCTAAAAAATGAAAAAAAATTATTGTAATGACAAAAAATGTCAAAATGGCTAAAGTTTAGGGGAAAAATTGAAAAAAAAATGCAAATGACTGTTCAAAAAGG